TCACTTTTAATTTTTAAAAATAAGCAAATGTTCTGTGAATGAAGAAGGAAGTGTGTGTTATGAAATTAAGCCAATGACAAATTGAAACAACTTAGAATTCATTTGATTTCCTCCTTGGTTACCAGTAACAACTCCATGTTTTAATTATTTCCTATTTGCTGACTCTCAATAATGGCCAAGCTTAAGCAGCCAATTATAAGTAGTTTACTTTAAAAAAATCAAATATACACTGAGAGATTTGGGCAATCACCTCATTTATGTGATTATTTTAATGTTCTCAGATACATGGTACTATATTCTCAAAATAACTGCTTGTCGGAAGAACATTTATCATATAGACCTAAATAATAGTCTAAATCTAAGAAGCTACTACCAAGAATGCCAATAACTTAGATATTTTTATCTAAGTTTTAGCAGAGTCCTGTCTAACTTTTTATACAGCTTGACATTGGTTAATGCACATAAACGACACCTAGACTGATAATCTCTTCATGAGCTGCACTAATTTCTAAACTGAAGCCACAGAATGCAGTGCAATGCCTATCAGTTTAATTATACAGCAAGCTAAAGGAAATCATGAAAGGCATACTGTTGTATATGTCTAAGAAAAACCAAATGTTGGGAGAATTCCCAGGGCAAGCACCCAGAATGGACCTTCAATTACTCGATCAAACCACCATTCCATTCAATTCCCTTTTCAACTCTCCAATGAATTCAACTTTCTAATTGGTTAATGTGGCTGGCTACCAAAAAATTAACATAATTTGCATATTTAGTCACACACTTTAAATACATTTCTAAGTGGTTTGAGACAGAAGAAATAGTTTGTAAGTGTTCCTTGAGTACTGAAAAGTACAGAAAAACAAGTAAATGCTAAGAATTTGGTGCCATTCTTTGAAGAAACTAGAAGAACCATCTATGAGGCTTAAAACACAAAACAAGGAGCAAAAGAGAGAGAGAAAGTGAGGGACAAGTAAAAGAAAAGTATAAAGTAAACATTTTTTTCAGGAACTCAGGCATTTTCCACATGTGCTGCAGAATGTAAGGGGAGGAATTTTCTTAGAGAATGATAAGTGAAGTTAGCACATTTTCCTTTCCTTCCTTGTTCTCAAACCATAAAGTGCAACACATGTACTTGAGCATTTTCAATTTATCCACAGTCTCAGTCATTAACCACGCCCCCTGCCAACTGGGGAGGTGTGTGGCAGCCACTGTTCAGTTGCTTAGGTTTTTGGTTTGGTCCCAATGAAGAACATTTAAAAAAAAAAAAAGTCCCCCTTTTTTTTTTTTCTGGAAAACAAATGTACGAGTTTTCAGATCAGTTCATAACTGTTTGCAGCTGTAATTTGTTGGGGGTGGGGGATATTTTACAATTCTTTTTTGTAAACCCAGGCAGCTTTGTTTATAGTTTTATTATTTGCACTTTGTGCCTAAGAGCACAAATCTTAGCCAGTAGAAATACAAATTATTGCAGTTCAAGGGCAAATAGATTTTCCAGACCAAAGGTTAAATGCAAAGAGCTGAAGTTGTTAGTATTCACACAACAGACATTTTTAGCTAACAGTAAGAAGTATTATTTTGAAGGCAAAACAAATAGACAAAAAGACTTCCAAAGATTTAGATTTCATTCCAATAAGATAGAAAAATATTTCTACCATTTTTTGTCTGTTTAGTGGAAATTTGAAATATATTGTTATCAGTTGAATTATGTCACCCCAAAAATATACACTGAAGCCATAATCTCTCATATTTTAGAAAGTTATCTTATTTAGAAACAGGGTCTTGACAGAGATGATCAAGTTAAAATAAAGTCATTAAGATGGGCCTGAATCTAATATGACTAGTGTCCTTAAAGAAAGGGGAAATTTGGACACAGAGACAGATATGCACCCAGGCAGAATATCATGTGAAGACTGGAGTTATGCTGTCCCAAGCAACGGAACTACTTGAAGCTAGGGAAGAGGCCTGGAACATATCAAATTCAGACAGAAAAACCTGCCTAACAAAGGTGCTTCAATCTTACACAAAGGCTGTGCTCTGAAAGTTCATTTACAGGAATGCTAAGACTATAATCAATTTCCTACACTGACACCGAGATTTGGTTTCCAGGCCTGTATTCAAAAGTCTGTCTAACCTCTCATTCAAGTGAACTATCCTCATAAGCAGTCCAGATACAATATTTTAAAGTTTTAATGATGATTCAGTTAGAAACACATTTTATATCATGACAGTATACATACATATAAATCAGACACAAATTTCACTAAATTATTCTTAGTTTGCTGGGATATTTTCTATTTTATTATTAATATTGGTCACATCCTGCTAAATTGGCTTTATAACCACTAATAGATCACGACCCACAAAATTAAAAAATACTGTTCTAAATTTTAGACTCAAGAGAATATTAAAATGAACTATTCTTATTATTTCATAATTCTTATTTCTAGGCCATAACTTCTCTCATTCAATTGATTCAAACTAAATAATGTATTTTTTATTAAGTATAATCATTCATGAAATAAACACAATGTTGTGCTAAAAAAAATACTGTTCTACAATATGCTAAATACACATCTCCCTTGCTTGCTATATAATGCACACTGAATGAATGCTGATGAATTAAGATCTATGTTCTCACAAGACAAAGAAAAAAAAAACTTTCTTTCTCTGTCCTACTGACAAAATCAGCTCGGGCCAAAGAAGTACAGATTTTGCTGAGTGTAGATGGTAAAGAAAAGCAGAGAGAAAATGGATCTGGATATGCCCAGTAGTGGGCATGATGACATAGTTGTGGAAGGCCAGAAGGATCTGACAGAATATCTCCAAATCTCTCTTAAATAGTCCTTCCCTAGTACACCATAGGACGGTGTCAAGAATAAGACTCAGAGACACAGTGAAGGAGACCATTTTGCATAGGACACGGCCTCCATGGCTCTTTCTTATTTGTATGACTGTGGCATTGTTTATCACCTACTCTGTCTTCTAGAATCAAAGAAATATTATACTTAGAGAAAACTAAGGATCATCTCATTCTATTTCAATCCTACTCACTCAGCTAGTGCCAGCTCTGAATGTCCTTCTGATTAACAGCTTGTAATGTCTAAGAAATTGCATGGAGGTAGGGGTATGTGCATGCGGGGGGGGAAAGGAACAGATTTCTTAAGTAGGGGGTGGGAAGAGGAGTTGCTTTACCTTCCATTTGTTTTGCATCTCTTTCTACAGCTAGAAGGTGAAAAGTGAACCATGACTGCCTGCTGATTGATTGACAGTGCACTTCTCAGGGAATCCTGGGCTGAGACATGTGTAGAACTCACAGAATAGAATCTTATTCTTGTTATAACATTTACACTGTGTTTATAAGCCAACTGTTTTCCTTAAGGACGTTTATCCCTGCTATAGTTTAAATGTGTCTCCCAAAGTTTATGTGTTAGAAACTTGATCCCCAGTGAAACAGTTGTTGAGAGGTGGAACCTTTAAGAGGTGATTAGGTAATGAGGGCTCTGCCCTCAAGATTGGATTAATGCTGTTATTATGGGAGTGGGATGGTTAGTACGGGAGTAGGTTCCTGGTAAAAGGATGAGTTTGACCCTCTCCTCTCTGTTCACTGAGTTCACTTTCTTGCCCTTCTGCCGCCTGCCATGGGATGACAGAGCTAGAAGGCCCTTGTCAGATGTGAGAACTTTGAGCTTGGACTTTCCAGCCTCCAGAACTGTAAGAAATAAGTATCTGTTCATTATAAATTATCCAGCCCATGCTATTCTGTTATAGCAGCACAAAATGGACTAAGACAATCTCTTACCTACATATTTGATCAATTACCAAATTGTATGGATTATGCCTCAAAAAAAAGGATATGTCTCTCGAGTCAGATCTCTCCTTTCCATTTCCACTGCATTAGTCTTTTGCAGGGGCAAGACTATTTCCCTGTTTTCCATACCAGTTCATCCTTAGCCTCTCCTACTTCCCCATTGCATTTGGGATACAATCCACATGCCTCAATCTGGCACATGAAGTCCCTCCCAATTGCAACCCAACATATCTTTACAAACCTCTCATTGCAGTTTTGCAACTCTTTCCATTTGTACATGTTGTTCTTTCTACCTTCAATCCTTTCTCCACCTCTCTCTGCCTGGTAAATACTTCATCTCTCAGTTCAAGTGTCATCTAATCTGGGAAGCCATCTCTAGCACCCTGGAGAGGGAGCTGCTTCTTCCTCCAGGCTTCAAGACACTTTGTTCATAGCTATAACGGACTGCTTAGCACATAACACTGAAATTCATAGACTCAGAGGCTTGTCTCGTTTCCAGATTAGTCTTTATCTTTGCAAAACCAGCACCTAGCTAGGTACCTAGAACACTGCATGTGCTTAGTAAATGGCTGTTGAATAAAATCAGTATCATCAAGATTTTGCTGAGTGCTTGCAGTAGTGTTTGATTAAACATTTTGAAAACATACTGTTTATAATTTGTAAAACTAATTTTGCCTAGAAGCATTCTCTGATATCTGTACATTGATATTTTAAATTTTCTTTTTCCCATCTATTCAAAACTTAATGAATCTGCAGCTGTGCCACGGGTTTTCTCCCATCCTCACTTAAAGAAAATAATTTCTTTTTTCCAACTGCACAATTAGAGGTGGGAGCTTTGCCATTATGCCCATAATTTTAACACTGTACTCTTTGTGGTATACAGAGAACCCAGAAAATGATATGTTCGGGCAAGGTAATGTTTGAGTATGGCCTTGCCACACACTATATCTGTTTGTTCTGGCTTGAGAGCAAGGAAAAAAAAATAATATTTCACTTCACGCCAAACACAAAGGTTGTTTAAGGTTTGAAGAAATTTTGGGTTTAGTCCCCAAACTATTTTCAAGGCAGCTGGAAGCTTTCATTTGTCTTTGAGATCTTGTTCAGAAAAGTGATGTTTATCATTATTATAAACATAAAAACATTGTCTTAGGGAGGCAGTAATTTAGAACATAAAACACAACAACCCTTTTTTTCTTCAGCGAGGCGGCCGAGCTACAGACGCAAACATGCAGATCTTTGTGACGACCCTCCCGGGCAAAACCATCACCCTTGAGGTCGAGCCCAGTGACACCATTGAGAACGTCAAAGCCAAAATTCAAGACAAGGAGGGTATCCCACCTGACCAGCAGCGTCTGATATTTGCCGGCAAACAGCTGGAAGATGGCCGCACTCTCTCAGGCTACAACATCCAGAAAGAGTCCACGCTGCACCTGGTGTTGCGCCTGCGAGGTAGCATTATTGAGCCTTCCCTCCGCCAGCTTGCCCAGAAATACAACCGCGACAAGATGATCTGCCGCAAGTGCTACACTCGCCTTCACCCTCGTGCTGTCAACTGCCACAAGAAGAAGTGTGGCCATACCAACAACCTGCACCCCAAGAAGAAGGTCAAATAAGGCTCTTCTTTCCTTGAAGGGCAGCCTCCTGCCCAGGCCCTGTGGCCCTGGAGCCTCAATAAAGTATCCCTTTCATTGACTGGAGCAGAAAAAAAAAAAAAAATACAACAACACATTCTTTGGGGGGATGAAATTAGTTGACGAAAAAATATTTTTTGTAACATTAGTAAATAAAGTATTTTCAAATCTTTAGTCAGTGAAACAAAATCAAAAGAATACGGGGATACCTGTAGAAGGAAAGAAGGAAAAAGAAAATTGTTTTTGCTAACTTCTTTCAATTATTACCTTACTGCAAATTTATTAAGGGTTTGTTAATACAGTTTTGATTTAACAGATACACAATTTCCCAAACTGTTAACTCTGAATGTGGAATTCTTGAGACAAAGATGTACAGGAGGCACGCAAATTATCCTGTCATCCTCTCCTGAACACCCTCACCTCAGCCAGAGGAGGACTGTGCCAGCAAAATGGGTCAAGGCTTGTTTCTGACATCATCTTGACTTTCTGCTGCTTGACGATGAGCAGCAACTGGAAAGTGAATGAAAGTTTGATGTCAACCTACACCTGGACTTTGGGTGCTTCTACAACCATGGGCAGGTGCTCATACAGGAAACATTTTCTGAGTGTACACTACTTATTAGAATCCATGGTAGGTGCTGGAGATACAGAGGCTAAGAAAACACAATCCCACCCTTCACGGAATTTACAAGATAGCAGAGAAATGGAAACTTGAAATGTGATTATTATTTAAAAAAAGGCATACATAACTACCATTGATTGAGAGCTCACCATAAAAAGCCAGGCTTTGTGCTAAGAGTTTACGTGCATTATCTCATTCGATCCTCAAAGACATCATGGAGGAAGGAATTACTAACCAGATTTTTCAGATAAGAAGAACAAGTTTTAGAAAGGTTAATTAACAGGCTGAAGGCCATAGAGGCAGTCACGGCTGAGGTTCCAATCCAAGTCTGAAGTCAGAGCTCCAGCCTTTCCACTCTGAAGCGCTATGCAGTCTGGCAGATTAGCTGAGGTTCAGTTAGATAAGCCACACAGGGAGTGAATTTTGAGGGTCACGTAGGTATTTCTGGGAGAAAGATAATGGACAGGACGAGAACTCTGAGAGAGAGAGAGAGAGAGAGAGACAGAATGTGCTTTGAAAGCATGGGAGAATTAATAACTCGGCAGGTGTGGCAATCGAGGGAGTTCAGCACCGTGGTGCAGCAGTGACCTGCCAGAAAGCTGACACTGGAGAAACAGGCAGGCTCTTGGGTTTCTATTAAATCAAGGAGTTGAAAAATAAAGGAAAGTCACTTATAAAAGTAAAACACAGTGTATCAATGGTCTATTCAGGCCAGCATTTAATTTCTAATTTTAGTTTCAAGAGTTATTTTAACCTAGACGGAGAAATTAGTTTCTCTTTATAATCACTTTGCTGACTGTAAAATACTGATATTTATTGTTTTTTTCTAAATGCTTAATTTTTTCTCTAGCCTTTCAGTTCCATTCCTTTAATATAATGATCTGAGTAAAGCAGTTCAATTCTTTATTTTTATTTCTAGTAAGTTCGAGTCTTCTGAAGTCTTTTTTCGGTGGGGAGGGTGACAGGGTCTTAATCTGTCATCCAGGCTGGAGTACAGTGGCATGATCATAACTCACTGTAGCCTTAAACTCCTGGGCTAGAGTAACCCTCCTACCTCAGCTTGTAGGTAGGACTATAGGCATATGCCACCATGCACAGATACTTTTAAAAAAAAATTTTGTAGAGACAGAGTCTTACTATGTTGCCCAGGCTGGTCTCCAACTCCCGGCTTCCAGCGATCCTCCTGCCTCTGCCTACCAGAGCACTGGGATTACAGGTGTGAGCCACCGCACCCAGCTTCCCTGAGTTTTATTCTTAGATCTGATGAGAAGATACCATGTTTTCCTGAGCTTGGTCTTTAAAGGTATTATAAAACATACGTCTTAAACCACACCCCCACCTCATTATTTTCACTTTGTTACTTAGGCACCTTAATTTTAAAGAGCAACTTCCAAGGCTTCTCCCTATCTTGTTTTTACCACCCCTGGCCCTACTATTTCCCATTAACATGCTTTTTCTCATGCAAAAACTAAAATCAATTTCCATATCTGGCTTTGGGATAATTTGCATAAGGGTTATAATGTACTATACTTTGGTTCTGGAGTCTGGTATTTGTTTAGCAACAATACTGTAAGTCTATATCTGATATCAGAAGTCAAATTTATTTTACAGCTTATCTTAAAATGATGGCTTAAAATTTGAAAGGGATTTTAAATTTAGAAATATAGATATATACAAATTTCTTCACAAGAAAAGGACATAGGTCGAAAGATTAATTTACAATTTTTAAAGTGTACTCATGTGTACTTGGTCAAAACAAAGTTCATCTGCCATTTTTATGTGTAAAAATGGGCTTGTCATAATTTCCTTCAGTGTATCCCTATCAGCTGAGATATTGTATGACCTGCAAATGTTTATTATAATCTGAAAACTTTAAAATATTTATTAGAAATTCAATTTTGAACTACATCTACTTAAAAAATTAAAGAAGACTGAATGCAACATCGCTCTTAACATTTTCCATTGACAGAAGTATGTTTATCCCCAGCGTATAAACTGCTCAGTGTCTATGACAAAACATTTCTCCAAATAGAAAATAATGGTTGCTATCTGTAATAGGAATAAGAGAATCTAAGTTATTTTCTAAAAAAAAAAAAAGGTAAGTTAAACTTTTTTGAATAAATCTTTATCTTAAAAAAACCAAAGTAGAATTCCAGATAATTACAAAATAGTCTTTTATCCTATCTAAGAAAAAAGAAGCAGAAGAGGAAACCTTCCTATTTTAATGTACATGTAAAATAGGAGCTTCATTTTCCTTAAACTGCATTAATGAATACATAACTCTAGGAAATAAACTAAAAACTATTTCCTCTTTCTCAGGGTAAATATCAAATACTCTGCAATGTAAACAGAAGTAGCATTCCAAATTGTTTTTTCTTTGCACTGTAGGAATGCTTATATAATAACTAAGGGTGAGTAAATTACTTGCAACTTTTTTAGTATAAGAATATTCCTAGAAATTTATATGGAAAGCTTTAGAAATTCTGTGGACAATAGTGTTCTGATATGCTTCCATTAAATTTCTTTGTAGTCTCCAATTCAACAAGTGTTTACTGAGTACCTGCTACGTGCCTAACATAAAAACAACTTAAGCTACCCTGTCCAGAGTCATTTTTAATCTCTAGTGCAGTAAGTGTCTATATATTAGAGCTCATTGCTAATGGGAGCAAGGTCAGGAGTTCAGTTTCCTCTGCCCGTTAGCTAGTTTTTCTCTTTTGAATGACGATAGACTCTTCCCTTTACTAAGCTTCTAATGGGGGAAAACTCCACTATTAATCCCAAATACATGCCATGATCATCAACTTCGTGTACAAATGGCTATTCTTTAGACATGTGTGTAGAGTGTTTTCCATTTGTTTCTGTATATGTGACTGAGCAAGTCATTTTATTTCCCTGTGTTTGAGTTCAATCATCTGAAAACGGAAGCTATGATTTAGGTTATCTCTAGGGATCCGTTTGGCTCTAAAATAGAGTCTATATTTTCATAATTCTCAAAAGTTACTTTTGCATATGTTAATAGCAGCATTATTCATAACAGCCAAAGGGTGGAAATAACCCAAATGTCTATCAACTAATGAATGGAAAAACAAAATTTGCTACATCCATATATTATAATATTATTCAGTCATAAAAAACAATGAAGTAGTGATACATGCCACAACATGGATGAATCTTGAAAATATTATACCAAGGGAAAGAAACTAGTCACAAAAGATTACCTATGATATGATTACATGCAAACTGATGATATGATTACATGCAAACTGTACAACTCTGTGAATATACTCAAAACTACTGAACTGCACATTTAAAATGTATGAACTGTATGGTATGTGAATTATATCTCAATAAAGCTGTTAAAAAGTGATTTCTATGGCCAAGCATGGTGGTTCATGCCTGTTATCCCAGCATTTTGGGAGGCTGAGGTGGGTAGACCACTTGAAGTCAGGAGTTCGAGACCAGCCTGGCCAACATGGTGAAACCTTGTCTCTACTAACAATACCAAAATTAGCTGGGCATGGTGGTGCATGCCTGTAGTCTCAGCTACTCAGGAGGATGAGGCAGGGGAATTGCTTGAACCCTGGAGGCGGAGGTTGCAGTGAGCCAAGATTGTACCACTGCACTCCAACCTGGGCGACAGAGCAAGACTTTGTCTCCAAAAAAAAAAAGTTATTTCTCATTCTTCTTATGGTACGAATAAATAGTGCATTAAAAAGGTTTAAAACAGAACATAATATTCCATTGGGAATCCATTCTGATCATCACAGACAAATGTAAGTTTCATAGGAAAAATAGGGTGAAAGCTTTGAGAGTTTCAAAAAATTTGGTTCAATTCTATTTTCAACAGTACTTCCAGCAAACAATTCTAGAGGTCATCTTCCAATATTGATGTGATGAAGTGCAATACAATGATACAGCACTACCTAAACTGTGCTAAGCACTCTTGCACTGATGGAATTGAAAGTGCATTGCAAGCATAAGAAGACAAACTAAAAGAAAAGCAATATGCCCTTTACATCTGAGTAGTTTCATCATTAACAAAACAAAACAAACCCTACAAAACCAAAACTATCACTTTTTGGTTTTTTTTGAGACAGAGTCTTCCTCTGTCGCCCAGACTGGAGTGCAGTGGCATGAACTCAGCTCACTGCAACCTCTAACTCCAGGGTTCAGGTGATTCTTGTGCCTCAGCCTCCCAAGTAGCTGGGATTACAAGAGCATGCCAGCACACCCAGATAGTTTTTGTTTGTTTGTTTGTTTTTCTTTTTGTATTTTTGGTAGAAACAGATTTCACCATGTTAACCAGGCTGGTCTCAAACTCCTGACCTCCAGTGATTCCCCAGACTTGGCCTTCCAGAGTGCTGGTATTACAGGCATGAGCCACTGTGCCTGGTCCTATCACATTCTTTAACTCCAAAATTTCCCTCATAAAATAAGTACCTTGAGTGGTATCATCTCTTATA